AAAAAAACTATAGATGTTATATGATGAAAAATTACTGTTATGCATTAACTTGTCAAGGTGTATGGAATTCCTGACATTTGCAAAGCTGGTGTTGCGCTGTAACTGACGGTCTCCTTATTCAGCACAAATGAATGCAAAAATTACGAACAGCCGAAAGTAATCAATTTTTAATGAGCTCCGAAAATTCTACGGAAGACTTAAAACAGTCCCTAGACAAATTTGAAGGCGAAGTTGTAGTTCTTCTGCTCACTTTAGTTAGGTTGGGTTTGATGAAAAGTTGTGAACAAGAGGTTCTCCTGGCTTACACTACGACACGTTTGCGAAGAACTCGACAACCCCAGTGGGAAGCGAAGCAACGACAGTAAGGTCATAGGCTCAGTTCAGACGACGTTCTAGCCGCCCAAACTATTTATTAGCGAGGTAGTGGGTGTTTGTTTGATTAAGTAGACTGCTAACAGTGCAATGGTTGAGGGACAGGGTGTTTGCCCTCATAATGCTGAATGACTTCTACATTAGTTTCCCTGCAGGTAGCTACATAACAGAACCAGGAAGTGTGTTTTTACTCAACTTATTTTTGAGGGCAAGTGCAATTTCTAGAAAGTCTGAGTTAGTGAAATGTGTGGCAGTTTTAGTTGCTCCTTTTTAATAACAGCATATGTGGCACCTACACAGCAATCCGGGGTTCATTAATTAAGGTCGTCGTTTTTAAATTACGCGCTGTAGCCTCGTCAAGAAATACGGATGTAGGTGAATACATAGGAGTTCCCCTAGTTGATCGCAGTATCCCTGTGCGAATGAGAAGTCAGTTGCTGCGGTCTAATTTTTCGAATCCGTTAATATGGTCGGAAGCACTGAGAAGACATCGGCGGATACCATTATTCCGTACGCCGCAGACGCGATTCATTGCAACATGGTTAGAAACCCCAGAGAGCCTTTAAATAAACTTTTCCAGATGTTCGCTAATTAACGAATTTGTGGAATAGCTAAATAGAAATCATGTAGTTAGGTCCGCCAATTCTCAATCGCAGCTGAACG